ACATTAACGGCACCCTTAATAAATTCAAAATCTGTAAAAACCCTCATGGATTAATAAACGGAATAGGAAACTACCTGTTTGGGTCAGTAGATGAAAACCATTATGAAGAACTAATATAAAACATATATGAACTTTTTGAAAATCAAACGAAAACAATTGAAAAGCAAAATCAATACTTGTTATTAACCTACCATATCTCTAATGATTATGTAAATTTAATTAATACGGTTCAAGAAAATTGTAGTAAGTCATTCAATGCGTTTAATGCTGCTACAAGCAGCCTTCAAAAAGAAATAATCATGGGTGGAAAAGGTTAGAAATGAAGAGGTATTAGAAAGGGTAAGATATTAGAGGACTCTATCGAAATCAATAAGAAATAGGCGAGATAGGTTAATAGGACACCTTCTCAGGCATGAAGATCAAGTCATACCAGTATTTTAGGTTTACTTTTATTTATTTTCATACAGTACTGATCTATCAGTACCGCTTCCATTTCATTTACAGATATCTCTAGGTCCTCTTTGCTAGATGCTAATATCTGCAAATCTAAGCAAACTAATTTTTTTGCCCCTGTACATCTTCCCTACAATTGTGCTGTCTTTAATGATGTTGATCGCGTCTTCGATGTATAGATTAAAAAGTAGCGGTGACAGTGTGCATCCCTGTCTGACTCCCTTCCTAATATTTACTTCTCTACGTTGCATCCCTAGCTCTTTGTAACTCATCCCTACATTTTTAAGTATATTTAACATCTTGTCCCATTTAACATTGTCAAAAGCTTTTTCTAAATCTACAAATCTTATGTACGCACTCTTTCCTTTTTCTATCGTTTTCTCTATTGTTACCCGTAAAGCTAGAATGGCCTCCCGCGTTCCTCTATTTATTCTAAACCCAAATTGATCTTCCCCTAATAGTTCTTCTGCCCTTTTTTCCATCCTCCTCTGTACAATTCTAGTTAAGATTTTTGACGCATGGGAAGTTAAGCTAATTGTTCGAAATGTCTCGCACCTATCCGCGCCCCTCTTTTTAAGTAATGTTACTACTACGTTCCGTTTATAATCCTCTTGGACTTTCCCCGTATCGTAAGTGCGACTAACACGCTTAAACATACGATCTCTAACCTCTTGTCCTGCATGTTTTAGAATTTCCCCCTGTATCCCATCTACACCTGGCGCCTTATTATTCTTTAATAACTCTTTTAATGCTACATCGAACTCTTCTCTCATTATGGGATAACTAAGCTCATCTATCTTCACACTATCATCCTTCTCTAATATATCTCCTAACTCAGGGTCTGCGTAGAGGTTCTCTAAATATTCTTCTCACCTATCTGCCTTTTCCTCATTTCCTATCAAAATGGCCCCTGCCTCGTTTCTTATGTTATTACAACTGTATCCTACCTCTCTAAAATTTCTTTTTATTATATTATACGCCTCATCGGTTTTACCTAATTCAAACTTTTCTTCTACTTCTTTACACATCCTATCAATCCACCGTTCCTTAGCTGCCCTTTACTTCCTAATTATTTCCCACTTTATAGCTTTATATCTAAGTCAGTATTAAATCAGCCTAAAGGAAGCAATCTAACAAATATTTTCAATCAATTCTCTTGGATTTGTATATTTTCGATAAATTATCATACTAAATAGAAGCAAGTAATTAAAAAATGTCATATTTATTATAATGATAACTTTAAAAATTGACTCATTTCTTGAACATTACTGCTATCTTAATAATCCGTAGTTATTTCTCTCATTCACTCAAAATTGAGTTTTATATTTAACAACGTATAAAAAATCAAATTCGGTACCAATTAATAATTGTAAACGCAAAAATTAATGCAAGANCAGATTCCTACGGACATTTGGAACATAAAATGTTATAACACTTTTGACTTTTGAAACAAAATAAAAAATTATAAAATTATAACAGTTTCGATGCCGGCCCTGCACAATCGCAAATTAATTACGATTGCCAGCTGATCGTAGAAAAATTCACCTTCAGTAGGTCAGAATCAGCTGCATTTTGGGGTAATGTTATTGTTTATGTTACGGATCAGCCGAAGAAAATGCACTCGCGTTAAGGTCCATTAGACTGAACATATTAGAAAGATTACGTATCTATCACAATCGAAAATCCCATGATCGTAAACTGAAGTGGACCTAATGTGGCCCATGACGTCGGGTATTATATTATTTTAAATAGAAAAGAAATTATAACGACTATGGAATAGTTAGAAGCGGTGCACAAACGACCCTGGGCACCCAGCGTTTGGTAAAGGTTTTGTAACATAACGTACTAGTGTACGAAAAAAGATGTATGTGTTGTGGTTGTAAAAGTTGAGACAAGATGCAGACCTACTTTGACCAATCACATGTGTTAAACTGCTCATTCTGACGTTAGTTTCACCTGGCAGGGCTCATTAACCCCACGTGGAAGTAATAGAAGGATGTGTCCAGAAGGACCAAGTTGGTTATTTTGTTTTCATTAAATGTAAAAAGCTAAATATTGATATAACCTCGTATAATTCCACTGCTGGAAGTGACTGGAATAAATACACTTAATGTCGTTTCGAACAGGTTCTTCAGTTTGCTTTGGATTGTTGTGGAATTTAGGTACTTGTTTGTTAGTGTTAGTTTATTTATTTAGTGGTCATTTCATGACTATTACAATAAGGACAATTAGTAGTGTAATAGTGCATTGTAGTAGGGTTCTTATTCAACCGTCAGTTGGTGGTGAGTTACATTACAAATGCCTATCGTATAATTCAAAATATTCCCGGTATCTTGGCTTAAATTTGCAGCAACTGGGTACGCCGCTGTCAGTGTTGCATTGAAGCGAATGGCGGACAATTTCAACATTTTTTATAAAAGGTACGCTTTTCTTTTTCATTTTTACTTTTTTTTTACAAGATGGAAGTGCATTCGGCTTCTTCCCGATAGGTACTAGATCAGCTGAGCGACGTTAGTCGCCTAGATCCAGGCCCGTAATGAAACAAATTATAGGTTCAAATTTACGAAGACGATTTGCGAGCTCAATTGACACTGGATTGAAAAATTGTATAACACTTTTTTGTATTTTGTGTCAGGAAGCCATGTTTTTTTTTTTAATTATTATAAATGGGACACCCTGTATAAAAACAGAATTTAACTATCAAAGTTAAATTGACTATAAAAGTTCTTTTGCCTAAAAAAAAAGAACTGCTGTAAAAGATACCACCAAACGAAGCTCGGGCCTCCACTATATATCGAAGAAGCTAATTTTTGTATATCTATTTAGAGATATAATTACTCCACCATGTCACAATCAAGCGAAGTTATATATTTGGAATTCGGATTTAACTACTTTAATATAAAATTGAAAGTGAATTGTAAAATTAAGAATGACTAGCCAACAATTTAGCTACAGTTAATGAATAATTTAATAATATAATAATAATCTTAGCCTAATTGGAGAACGTAGGAATTGCAGGGAACTATCAGAGGATGAGTGAAGACGGTAAGCCGTCTCTGCATCTTTGTGATCTTGTAGTCGTTTTGCGACTCTCGATTTCTTGACTTGACTATTATTCATTATAATATTGTCATGTTCGTGGGTTTAACAAAATTAACTTCTAAGATTGATAATAAAGAACTTAAAAACACTATTAAATTATTACTAAACTTTATGAATTATTCTATTTATTTACACTATTGTTGATATATCACTATTCACTGCGCTATTTATTTCACTGCTATCACTGTCAATTTATTTCTGGATTCACTTCTGCAACGGTCAATTTATTTCCTCTTTTTTCGAAGATGGTCTCTTCATTTAATCACTCTTTTGTTTACTTTCGGAAACCTTCACAATTACAAATACGGCGCACATGAAAAAAGGCATCCGCGGATAGTCGGCGAATCGATAAGCCGTTCACGCACACACGAGCACACTCTTGCTCGCTACAATATTGATTTCACTATTTAGACGGTTGCTAATTGACCCACTAACGCACGTAAGTAGGTGTTAGCTTGAAGTTTTAAATAAACAATTTATATGTACCAACTTTGTACCAGTAGCCTAAATAACAATTTATGTATACTGTGTAACACAAGTCAAGATTTGAACGAGAACATTTTGCGAAAATTTTAGTGAATTTCTGTGAAATATTTATAATTGGTGTAATACTATGAAAAGTGGGCTCAGCGTTTTGATACGGAAAAAGCAATGCTAGAAGTCGCAAAGATGTTGAAAACTAATATGAATTTCCACCGTTTTATTTTTGATGCTATGTGACAGATACATTTAGAAAGTAATTTTAAGGTTTCGCATCGATTATATTCTCCATCCCGAAGAAACTACTATACATCGATGCTTGTGCAGTTTAATGATCCGTATACTGTACGTGAAGATACTTGCTATAGGGCAATTCGGAGGATACTTCTCGTGGGGTTTCCTTCAATAAATTGCACAATTAATAATAATTATTTTGTCGCCCAAGCCCCTCAGTCGACACCACACCCTCGCTATCATGTCTTCAATACTACAGACACTATTGTCAGCGAATTCGGTCGCCATTAATCAGGCCATCCCTCCCGATATAGGCAATATGTCGAGAGGTGCACCGTAACTTTACACCGTATATGATAATTTCATAACGGGAAATGCTGTAGATTCAACAATTTCCATTACTTTGAAAAGTTTCCTCAAATAAAAAAAATATTACATTAACGTAATAAGCTAATTCTGTATTAAAAGTTTATTATAAGCGCCAAAATTGAAACATACAAGCTAAGATATTCTAAGATACATTGAAATGTATGAAGTTAATAATTTTGAATTTTGTTTGGTAAACAGGTTATGAGTGAGTAATTTCAATATAAATTCCTTAGTAAACAATTACTTAAATTTTAAAAATCGGTGCAAAAATTTTGAATTGATCATTTCGAAGCTCCGTTCTTTTTAATGCAATCCACATCTTGAAAAGAAATTATGCCTAATAAGAATGAAAACATTTGCGAAACATACAGGAAGAGAATTTATTTTTCATAAAAATATATCAAGTGTAAATAAATTGTTTAAATGCTTCTCTTTTATCTTTCAAATTAGGATCCGTTCGTGGGTCATGAGCCATTTTTCCGGGAGTACAATTCACAAGTTCTTTTTGCATCCTTGCCCGTATAGTACACGTTTTTCCATTATATGATGGTGCCAAATTGTTATCTTTTTGATATTTCTAAAATAGGTTTTATTAAAGTTGTGCCTTTACTTTCACTTACTATACTTACCATAATTACTTGGTTTATCGGATACAAAAGTCTTCCTCTGCGTAGAGCCTGATCGGTAACCTCTTTAGCATATTTGAAGAAGTCATCATCGTCGCTCTTAAATTTATCCTTTTCTTGTTCGAACTCGCACTTTATTATTTCTAACTCCTTCAAATCTCTTTGCTTTTTTTCTTTCTAAAACACTAATTGTGAATGCCAGTATGTCAACTTGGGCTAAATATAGTGAATACAATTTGTTCAAGTAACTCCCCGCGATATCTCAGAATATCTTCCCATCTTCTCTTTTTCTTATCCTCCTCTTTAGATCTTACTACCTCGTTACCTTTATATCTATTTAACATTATCCATTTCCTCATTTCTCCGTCAATATATTTTCCTCTTTCCTGCTCTTTCAAAACCTTTTGTCGATTTTCTAATCTTTCCGTTAATAACATCTTATCATATTCTGCCCTCGCTGCGATTTTTTCCAACTCTCTGCGCATAAATCAACATTAATAGGAGAGTACCAACAACCAAAAAATGTGTCTTTACATAAACTAGGTTAAATTGCCCTTTTTTAACATTTGTTGGTATTTCCACCATAAATTACTTATCGTTAACAGTTTTGATTAATTTCGGAAGACTAAATTACCAATACAAATACGTTACATAAAATTAATCAAACATTTACAAACTTAAAATTTTAGTGAGTACCTACATGGTAACAGTACAAAAATTCAACATATGTATACAGTAGGACGTTATAATTTATTGATTTTACTACGTACACACATTATCATGTGTAAGCAACCCACTATACATAGTAACAAAGGTTAAGAGGGTCAGTCAGGTCGAGTTTCAGTTAGGAGGTAAGAAAAAGCGAAACAATTAATTATTAATAGTGATGTTACTAAAGAATAATTAGTTTAATAAATTAGTTGGTAACATGTTTGATTACGCGGCAATTGGTTCCAGAAAGAGGACTGCAGAAGAACGGAACATCAATAATTTGGCCTAATGCAGTATCAGAATGGTGAATTCGTCCTTTGACAAGAAAATTGATCTTGACTACGCCGTAGAGACTTCACCAACTCACAGAAATGCAATCTTATATGGCTGGATATTGATGACCGATATAGCAGATGATGTCATCATTTGATTGAATTTACTCCCGGAACATGGAATCGAATTAAATATAAGCACTTCTACAATGGGTATCGTTGAACAGGAGATAGGAATGTCAAATCCCAAGGCGTATCTTATGCTTACAACGACTTTAGAAATAAGAGATCAATATCGGGCATCGCCCAGAGAAATAACCTGTCAATGCAGATGCACCGGAGACACTGCGTAGAAAACTGTAAATATTGTTCATCTGCGAAGAAAAAAGGAGATCTGGCATCAATCTGTTGTAATCTAACCATCGTTAAGCCTGAGGATTCCTGAAAACACAACAAATTAATCGAAGATCAGAGAATGAACGACAATATTGGCCCAATGATGAGATGGAAAGATCCGGAATCTAAAGACTCTCAAGGATACATATGAATCACATAATCCAATCAAGCAAAAGTCTCTCAGCATAACGTAACTTAAATCCATAGTATAAAGTATTTGACACATGCCAGTCAGGAAAACCCTTTTCACCATTACCTGATCGAAACTGTTGGAGAGTAACTGAAACTCGTCAACTGTCACCAAACTAACTGATCCAACATACAGAGTGTCTTACGGTGAAGGCCCATTAGAAAATTTCAGAAACTACTTCGAATTAAAATTTACAATTTTAAGGTCTAAGTTTTTCTGAATTAAATAAAATAATGTCATTCTTGTAACACTTCCGGTTATACCGGAAGTTGTCATCAACTTTGTTATTTTAAATAGAACACCCTGTCTATTTTTGAATTTTCAGAATCTAAATTATTCTAGAGGAGCTTTTATGATACTTCCCAATATCTAAGTCTACTAGTGTTTGAGATATTCCAACTTTACCAAGAAAAAAAAATGTGTTTTCATTATCTAACCCAAAATTGCATATTTCATATGTAATGAAAGCTGAGGTATTGATATTAGGAAGAAATATAGGAGGATGTCCCTCATTTACTACAGTTACGTTAAAAGTTATTTAGTGTTATACAGAGTAGTAAAAATGTAATGCCGAATTTGCGTAACTCGCATAAACATGGAGGATAACAACAAAAAAACACCCACACAACACAAGAGGGGGACGGGTTTGACTAATAAGAGGCAAAATTCTAACGAGCGGAAGTGCCATAAGAGAAGCATTGGAAGATAAGGAATTTAGCCCCTAGATATCCTACTTGTGTCGCTCCCCGTCAGTTTAATGCTCCTCATTTCAAAAATGCCCATAGATCACTGATGTTCTTGAACACAGCCGATTCAAAGCTCCTGCCTTGGTCGCAATGCAATTCCAATGGTCCTCCATATCGGCTGATCCAGTTATTGTCTAGCTTTTCGGCAACGGTGTGTGCTTCCTGATTTGGTATCACACTTTCTTCGGGCCACATGACTACTAAGATGTATCAGTTTCCGGAGGCGGTCATTGGGAATGGTCCGGTCACGTCGACTTCGATTCTCCGAAATGGCGCTCCCATGTTGTATTGTTAGTATTCATCCACTCTTCGGTCTCACGTGGGGCATGAACATTTACATTAATAAAAGGTAAGCGTCTTGTATCTTCATGCTAGCGTTTATATTGAAAACATGACTCTTTAACGTGTCCGCCCTTTTTACAATATGAACAATTCTTATCGAAATTTTCGTTTTTACCATGATTACCCTGATTATTAATTTTATTTTTTATACTTTTTGAATTTACGTGTTCTACTAATAGGAAGAGAACTTAAAGGACTCCCTAACGTTTTCTTGTGCCATAAATTTGCATACCTCTTCTAATTGAATGCAATGATCGAAAACATTTTCAATGTCAGGATACTTATTTTGTAGAGGTACGTTGAATAATTCCGGTTGTAATTTACGGACAAAGCAACTCACTGCCGTTTGTTATTTTGTTTTGTTTCACCTTTTAATTGCATACCAATAGTTACTGAAGAAATAACTGTATTTCTCAACGGAGCTATTTTTTGATACAGTTCTTTGGATTCCGTTTATGGAAAGCATTTCCCAGATCACCTGAACATAAAGTGAATCGAACTAACAATAAAATATCTTCTACATTATGTAGGTACCTGTTTACTATTGCTTTTAATGAATGACCCTGTAATTTTGAAAATCTTAGAGTAACATCAATTTTTGGAGAGGCATCAATCATTAGTTTGAAAACAGCGTTATCTAACCCACTTGGGGTCTTTCCTACGGGGCCATTATTAACTGTCTGAAGGATTCAGAGGTTTCCTCAAATTCTACCATAAGAACAGTCTTTAGATAAATTTTGGAAGGTTTTCTATAGGAGTTAATAACAATAGAGAAATCAAAATTCCTACATTATTTCTTAATAAGTCTCTATCATGGACTTCAAAAGTTGAATACGTTTTCTTAAATAGCCAAGGAACTTGCGACGTAGGGAAATTCTTGATAGTGGTATAATCTGCCTAATTAATCTTCTGTAACGAACATGCAGCGTGGCGGTGTCCACGTAGTTACATTTTTTCCAGCTAATGGCCAATTTTTTTTGCATTTGCTGGATTTTGGAAATCCCTCTGACTGCGACAAATGATATAATTGCAGAATGGATAGAACGAAATGACAACAATCAGACACGGTCACTAAGTATAACAATTATTTTATGGATTGTTTTAGTCGAAAGGGAAATTTCTAATCTATAAACCAAACGAAATATATTTAGCAAGTTTATTCAAAAGAAGTTGAAAAGCTTTTCAAGTTTCATACAAAAATATACATATCTCCTATCCTAAATCTGTCGTCTTAGAGCCTAAACAAGCGTCTCTAACAGGGGGTACAATAAAAAATACTCGATACTGGCGTGAATTAATAATTTCACTTGGTGAATTTAGAAACAATTGTAAAAGTAGAGTTGTTATTGGGAATAGGATACGGTTTCGATCCTTTATGTGCTCAAGCCACTGCAGGCGAAGTCGCAAGACAAAACGTTAGTATAAAATGTAATAATACATTCGGCAATCATATGACATACAAATACGTATAGATTTATTTTCATTTGTGTCAAGAAATGAAATTAATGTGACAAGCTACAAAAAAGAAAATGTACAGTAATGTACGATGCTACATTTGAGGATTACATATGCTCCAACAAGGTCCATTTAGGATATGGATATCTACTTGCTGAAACGAATCCCGGCGTAGCTCACCTCAACGTGATAGGCACGTTACCATAATCGAACAAAATAATTCGAAGTTGATATCACGTTGAGGTGAGCTACGCCGGGATTCGTTTCAGCAAGTAGATATCCATATCACAAATGGACCTTGTTGGAGCATATGTAATCCTCAAATGTAGCATCGTACTACAGATGGCGCTCACCACGCCATTTGTAGTATTTTCTAAAACGCGCTGTTAAGACAGCAGGTAAAGGTTGGTCTGTNGAGGGTTAAGTGCTCCTTAAAAAGTATCTAGACAAGCAACACATCCGTAGCATTCAACACTGTAAATATTAAAACGTATTACTCGTTGTTTCTACTTTTCTGTCTATGCTCAACAACAACTGTTTCTCGTATTCCTCGATAATGTAATTGAAAAAACACTTGTTGTATGCAAGCAACACACCCGTAGCATTCAACATGGTCCTTCGAGCCGGATCCGAATACAGCGGAAAACGAAGGTGACATTAATTTCGATGTTAGTGTGAAATTCGCAAAACGAAGTTCATCTTATCCATCGGCGACAAGCAGATCAAGTTCATCAACATCGTTTAAATCATCAGATCTGCAGACAATCACACGTAGGACGCACCATCGAATTCATGAACACCGTTTGAGTTTATTGAACATTCAACACTGTAAATATTAAAACCTATTACACGTTGTTTCTACTTTGCTGCCTATGCTAGACTACAACTGTTTTTCGTATTCGTCGACAACATAACTGGGTGAGTTGAATAGTGACTACGCCCCGTTTGGCAATTTCATTTTTCAACACTTACATGATGTAAAACTTCATTATCGACGGTAGGAAGGAAAAAGTCACGCGCCACAACATCACGCGTCACGCACCATGTGTGACCCCTGGTGGATATGTCCAAAAGGAGTAATTTTAACAGGCATCAGAAGCTAACCTGTTAGTATCAACCCATAATACGAAAATTGCCATTTCAACAAATTATCAGCAGATCGCGCCTACTCTGACGTTTTGTTTTGATTTGTAGTTCGTCTTTGCAGTTCTATATGATACAAACGTAAAAGTTTTTAACAAACTAAACCAATATCCCGCATTCGTCAGCTCGAAATAAAGTTGTATTTTTCCTGGTGTTTAGTAATTAGTTAATGTAATAGTTCAAGCCATTTTTTTTAATTACTACTATAATATACAATCTAAAGAAGTTTCACTTCCTACGCGTGAGCACTAATAAACGCTCTTCCTTTTTTTATCGAAAACATCTTAATGAAAGGATCGTTTCTAAATCTTGATTAAATCCATACACAATACATATTTAAAACTAAACAGATACAAGGCGTTTCTGAAATAAGTAGCATACTTGTAGAATTCGATAACCAAAAGGACTTGACCTCAATAGCCACAAAAATTTAACAAACTGCAGACACGTCTTTCGCTCATTCACGTTATGAACATTCTCAGCGCAAGACCGTCCTTCCTATATATTGCAGCTTGCAAGTGATAGGGCACTATAGAACAAGAACATTAAGTGAATGTTTGGTAGTCCGAATGTTTTTCGAGAAAAACGTATTTAGAAGTACAGGAGAGTGTCAATCCAGCCCATCACGCAAGGAAATACGACAATGCAACGGCGTATTCAAACAGCTGGTAATTAGAGAAATTAGTGTTGTATTTCTTTTGTATTTTTGTACTCACGAATTGTTTCTTATTTGTTGGATTAGATTAAGTGTGATTGACGATATTTATGTTACAGGCAGTACTTAGTTCTTTTAACGCTTTAGCTGTATAAATCAGTCAGTTATTTCAGTACATCAGTTTATCGCTGTCGTAATTTATTGTAGAACAGTAATTGTTACAATGGCGTTTAGTACGACAGATCTCTGTAGCATGATACTAATTTAAGACGAATGTAAACACAATGTCAATGCAAGTATCAAATTGTACGATTATCCATATCCCCATCGAAAACGTCATCCTTTGTAAATCGTCTTAAATGAGGTACAGAGATTAAAACAAACCGGCAATGTACCTTCCACGTGAGGGTGTATATACCTCGCCATGGACTGCCTCTAAGACTTCTGAAATTCATTCCACTTCATTCCCATGGAGCTTGTTTCTTGTTCCACCTGGACTTTCTCACATTCTCTTCAAAATGCCGTGCTCCAAGTTATGGGACGTCCATTGCGCCCAATAGCTTTTCGATGTTTGACTAAGGTGGCTTACATCTGGCCACGATGGTCATAAGGTTCCGGCTTCTTATCATCTCATTATTGGGCCGATGTCTTCGTCCTTCCTGTGGTCTTCGATTAATGCCTAAAATCCTTAGGCTTAACGGTGGTTAGATTACTCATTTTTATGCTGTTGACAGATGTGGAAGTCATACAGCTGCCACTTACGCATCCTTGGAGTATAGCCAGCGTCTCTCCTCGTCAAGAAATTGTTAGTGCTATTATTTTCTATGAATCAGTCCAAGAATTTGCCTCTGCCGCTGCTCCAAGCTGCTTCAGGTAAACAGACCACGAGATCTTTCCATCAAAAGTTGGAGGTGATCGAAAATTACACCTCCAACTTTTGATGATCTTGCGCCGGAATCTTCAGGTATTGCGGTAGAGGGAATTCTTAGCCTTTCAATTTCTTCTCTCATTTATTCTTCTATTTCTTGTCTCCTTTCTTCTATCTTCTTTCCGATCTCATCTGTAATATTGTTTATCTTTTCCTCAGTTCCGATATTTATTACTTCCTGTACGGCTTCCTTTTTCTGCTTCGTTTCTTCTTGAGCTGCTTTCAGTTCATATTTCATTTCTTCTTGAACTGCTTTCAGTTGTTCTTGTGTCAGCTTGTCGTTATTTTGTACTGCTTCCATTTCCTGTTACATTTCTTCTTTTCCTGCTTTTATCTCTTTTTGTCCAGTCTACATTACTGCTTTCATTTCTGCCATCATTACCATTAATGAATTTATTTGCTCCTCCATTTTTGCTTCGGAAGCTCTAGTCGTAACAGGCATGTAATCTTTTTTCTTCGAACGCCTTCCAACGATGCATAGTTTGTTAAAGTAAGTCAAGATTGATAGATACTTCTAGAAACTGGTCTTCTTTGCCACTATATATGTTGGGTTTCCTACATACATGTGACAATACAAAACACTAATTTGGCTAAGATATTACTGCCAAAGCTTATTTGATGGAAATATATAAATGTAAAAGAATTGTAGCAGTGGAACATTTGTTTTTGTAAACTGTCAGTGTTTGGAGGTCATTCTGTGGAAGTGCTACGAAAAATCATTTTACCTGTCATACATAAAAAGATTAAATATAATATAAAATTCCAGATAGTCGACGTTGATCACTATACGTCACTTTCAGAAAAAAGCATCTTTTACTCTAGGTTTCATAAAATATTGTACTTCTAAAATAACAGAAAACTACAGGATAGAAGCAAAAAAAATATTGAATATAAAGATATCATTCAAGGTTATGGCAAGTTTGCAGAAAAGACAATACTAGCAGTTGACGAATCAATAATACCATCCATTCAACGTGCCAGAAGAATATCCATCACCTTAAGACAAAATTTACACCAGTAATTGAACTAGAAAAGGAAGGTACCACAGACCTGCCATAACTAGACTGCTCATAAGGTAGGTTAGGTATCAATATAGGCCAGGCAACCAACTCTTCAGTGCGGGGTAAAAGAACGTTATAGTATGCTTTGGCGCATAAAGAACCAGAGGTAGAGGGTTGTTTCGTATCGACAATTGCGTCTTTTTCATTAAATTGTATACTTCTAAGAGGCGTATTTTCCAAATGTTACAGTTAAACATAATAGTTGTATTTAAAAGCAAATATTGACCTTACTTAACGAATAATTATTGTTCGTTGTTTTTCAGATTTAACTTTTATGTGAACGGGAATATAGAAAACGCTCGGTATTATATCACTTTGTAGGACATTTTTCGGTATCTTTCTTAGAAAATCGATTGCTTTGAAACGTTTTCGGAAATGACACTATGCCTAGTGGGATTAAAATTTTCCCTTCGAGTGACTTTAAATATTCATCTGTCGGAAATCTGCATATTAAAAACAATTACGTCAATTACCTATGTTATTATATACCGATGTCTAAATTTGAACAGAATCACTACTTACATAACGCATGCTTTTATTCTAGGATTTATCTTTAGCCAATTCCCTTCGATTAACCTATGTCGTCCTAATTATCAATTTAGGCAATATTGTACCTGAGCTAGGAAAAGCAAAGGTAATTTTTTCGACTGTAGATCTGAAAGAAGGGTTTTGGATCGGGTGTTGAAGCTATTGCAGATGTTATCCTAATTTGTGGAGTGGGAGAAAATATGGGAGAAGCTATTAATGATCATAATAACAAACTAGAAATGTTACTACTAAGTAATCTATTGATAGAGAATGCATCTAAAGTAATAGCAATAAGAAATATGAAAGCACAACCCTCGGTTAGTGAAGTTCTAAGGATTCTAGGGATGGTCATTTGCTTTTTTGTTTTCTTTCTTTAATAATGTTCTGAAAATAATAAAATCCTAAACTCCAAGTTCATACTTATTCCATTGTTCTCCTTCTTATGGAATTTTTCCAATAAGCTGCCCACTACGAAGAAGTGTATGACCCCAACCAAGATTGGAGGTTTCTAGAGGGCACATCAGAATGTTTCAGCAGTCCTACACTACATGTATTCTGTTTGCAGCCGACTAAGTTAGTTTAGATTTTTAAGAATGAGATTTTTGCACATTAAAACTCTCATTCTTTAAAGGAGGTAAAGTCAGAATGGGGTTGTAAATGATTTATTGTCGAACGACTAACATGAACGTTTCGCCTAAGGTTTTAATTGCGTTGTAGGGTGTGTAACTTTGCCACATGATATTAAAAATTGATTGCACCATTAATACAAAGACACACGAGTAAAAATAAGGTAATACATAATGTAAATAGTTAATTAAAACTACTTCTGGTCTTTAATTTTTAATTTTGTATTAATTATTTTACGTTAACAAGTAGTTTTTATTAGTTTTAATGCATTTCTATTATTTATAATTTTCCTTTTACAAGTGTGTTTTGTTTTCAATGTAAATAATTCTTAATATCCTGTATTAATATCACATACTGCATGACTTTATAATTAACAAAGAGACATTCAGGTTTTAAAAATCTACCATGAGAAAGCCTCCTAGCAATAAAATATTTATAACTCTATTCTGGCTCTGATTCCAATAAGGGGAAGAAATGGAAATCTATATCTCCCTATTTGGTCTCCTTGTAGACGTGTCCTACATACTGAACCCCAGGCAAATTCTGTTTTGGTTTTATTTTCCTCGTGTTGTTACGCATGGATATGCCTGCTTATGTAAGCATATACAAAATTAAGTAGTTAAGAAAAAGATGACGTAAAAAAGCTTACAGTCTTTCTTTCTCTTCATTTGCTTCCCTTAAAATCCTTTCCTCCTCCTCTTGTTTACTTGCAGCTACTGCTGCAACTTTTTCAGCTATTTTTTCTGCTCTTCGTCTTTTCTCTGCTAGAAGCTAGAAATAATTACAGTATTTTTACGAATATGCATCAAGTCTTGGATATTTGATGTACCTCTTGTTCTGTTCTTTTTCTGGTTTCTTCGATTCTACATTTAGCATTTGCAAATAATTCAATGACTTGAGTTTGTTCAATTTCTTCTTTCTCCGTTTGTATTTTATATTGTTTTTGTCGTTTGTAAAAATCATCAAACTCCTTTTTTATGTCATTGCGCTTTTGTAACTCCTATATTGAACATATAAAACCGCTTAATGAATAATTTAATGCACACAACAAAGAACGCAATAATGAACGACATTCACAATAACTAACTATAAAATAAACTGTTGTTTACATCATAATTGAACTTACACTTACAAATGTTAGTATTTCAATAATACAATGCAGGCAATAGCAATACCTTTACTTTTAGCATCTTTTACGTAACAAATTTTTATTAAAAAATCTTATCTCTAGCACAGGAATAGTCGCATATACTAATTTAGTGTCACACTTTACGATGTTGGTTCCTGCCACTAAGGAAATTGTTAAGGCTGTAGCATTAATGCTCTGTTTTGAGCCGAGTGCATATCGCAAACTTAACACATAAGTGTAAGTGTCTATCACGAGAAAAACTAAACAGCATCAATTAGGAGCACAACAAAAACTTATTTAATATGTATTATATTAATAACACTTCACGCCTACAAAATATGTTATTAATGTATAAAGTGTACCAGAAATAATGCGAAGCTTTGGAAGGTGCAAAAGGAATCGTATGTTGACTTTAACAGCGTGGTTATGGGTAAATAGAATTTTTAAGAAAACCACAAAAATTTATTATTTGAAGATGGCCCTGCACGTGAATTGTTAACGTACCAAATATTGAAGTGAACACGTAATAAGAACATTGCAACTACTTTAAACGTAAGCAGTACAGATTTTCAAACATCTGAAATAAACAACTCATGTACAAAAACGCCTGATATATGGCGTATTTCGTTTGCAGCGATCAACTGCAGTCTACAGGTCATTAGAGTTGAGCACTAGGGTTTAGTATACGCGCTATTATAACAACTGTTCGACAGTGACGTACTGACCTAGTCTAATGATTGATATTGTATTGCTGAATAAGTTCATTGAACTGCACATCAAGCGACTAAATACAAGATTAAAACGTTAAAAGAGTTTACCACTACTACACCTTGAATCGAACTTAATATAATCTAACAAATAACACACAATACATGAGCAAAATATACACATAGAATACAACACTGATGTTGCTAATTATCAGCTGATAGAAATACTTCCTATCAGATACCTTCCACTGCGCTTTTCTCGAAAACAATGAACTTTCGGGAATACAAACATTTACTTAAGTGTATTGTTTTATAGTGCTCTATCACTTCCTGTAAGCCCCGCACTTATATCTGTTACACACTGTGTAGACCCGATTCTAACAAATGATTCAATGAAATACAACTTTAAAGTAATTAATATTTAGGGCTGGCAAACTTTTTCATTTTTTTGCACACAAATGACAAAAACAATTTTTTCATTCACAAATACAACTTCTTCATGCCTTATTCTTTATAAAATGCCATAACGTATCATTAATAGATGCTAAAATTTGGAGTATGTTTGTTAGATCGCAAATATGTCCTTACCTCTGTTTTACCACGGAGCCTTGGTAACTCCTAAAGACATGTACATTAACAATTTCTCTTAATATGGGTGACTGATTGAACAGCTTTTAATAACCTGACGTATTATCCCAACGCTCAATGGTACCTTTTGAGTAAACCTACGCCACTTTCGGTAGAAGTATTGTTTGCTTATTTTTTTTTTCTTCAATGGGCAAAATCTTGGTGTTTTGTTACAAAAGCTCGTTTGGAAGGTCTAATTAAACGTTTACAAGATAGTGGACATCAATTTCATAAGAAGAAAATACGAAAATAAATATCATAATACATATTATAAAAACCATTTTATCATGAATCCTCCTCTAAAAGACTATATACATACTACCTACATTCATTACTTTTCAATAATAATATCTCGTTTGAATAAAGTTGGTTTTATAAAAGACAAGTATAAAATAAGTACAAGTAATCCCTAAGAGCATTCTGGTCGGTCGCCCTGATCATGTATGAGACCCACAGCTGAATTGCCCAATTCAAGTCCTGTTACGGTATTCTCTACTGCTTCTGACGTAATATACCTGATCATTCCCAAATAGTTTACGTTTTATTTGACCGTACTTGCAATCACGTGTTTTATACTCCTCCTTGAAAAGGTCGAAGTCGACTGACAAATACAATAATCGCTGTTACTATTTTTGTGTGTGTTTCTTTCCAAATCAGTGAATATTGCAGTACAACATATCTATACGCATACAAAGAAAATTCCTGACTCACTCACTGACTCATCAATGCCCAGCCCAAATTCATGCACATGAAAAGCTGAAATATTGCACAGAGGTCTCTTTCCTGATCTATACAAGGATTAAGGAGGATATTTCGAAATTCAAACCGTAAGAGGGTGAAAAAGAGTGACAAAGTTTGTATGGATCCTTTTTGGTTTCTGGTCAGATTTACTTGAAACTTAATTCGTTAAAATTATTAATGCTCTTTGATCAAACACCTAAATTCAACCTCTAAAGGGGTGGAAAAGGCTTCTAACGTTTGTGTGGAATATTTGTGAAAAGATTTACTTCAAACATGGTCTTAATGCTCATTAATACAATGAAACTAACATAAATTAACTATTTTTGAAAATCAGCCGTCACATTTAGTTAAAATTTGGGCTTAATGCTCTTTGATATCATTAATTAAATACCTATTTCGGCATCTGAAAAAATTCAACCTCTGAAAGGGGTAGAAAGGATTATGCTCAGAAAGCCGGGCAAGTTACAGCTAATTTAGGTACATTATCGAAAATTTAAAATATTTGAAATTTTTTTTGTAAATATAAATTTTATTGAATAAACTAATAAACCAGGAAACACAGTTTAATCATTTTTATATACAGGATTTCCCCTCTTCCACGAAAAACATAAAAAAAAGCTATCTAGCACCAGTCTTGTGCTGAAGATACTGATAACTTACATGAGAGAAACATATGTCTGCAGTTTTTTAAATAGTGTGGTTGTTGGGATAAGTCATTTGGTTATTTTACTAACAAATAAACAATACGTCAGCAAAAAGAGAATTACAACACTGATACTGCTAATTACCAGCTGATTGGAAACAGCGTGCAATGAGGCATTTCTTTCCAGGGCCGGAATTACATCTACCTGTGCATTCAACTACGTCATTCTTGAAAACCGTTAACTCTTGCAAGTATAAATAATTTCTTGTTTTTTTTTTTGTTTCATGGTCCCCTCACCTTCCGCAAGCTCCGCACTTATTTATATGCTATATTAAATTTTTTTTTTCTAGTTTAATGGATTGATTCACCAGAATTTATTTTTATTGCTTATAAGTTATGGCTACATGTAGAAACAGTACGATCGAGGTCGCATACGTTTTACCTGATGAGGTTTGTGGTTGTACACTACTGAAAATTTTAATGTATTAAGACGTTGCATTCATGATTTTGCTGTCAGCAGGCTGCCTGATCAGTACCCTATATGGTTCAATTACTGCAAAATATTCTTAAAAACCACCATATGCGAACTAATTCTAGACAATAATATAAGAGTACTCTATAACGTACTTGAGAAAACTATGAAGGGTCATGCTATTGAAAAACAATTCTACTTGCGAAACTACCAGATGAAGTAAAAAATTTGAAATTAATACTTATGATTATAACAGCAATTAAAACTTGCCTCTTCAATCTCATTCTTTTTCATTTGTACAGCTTCTCTTCCAGCAGCTAGAATGTCGTTAAGTTCTTGTTTGATTCGTTCCTGTTTTTCTGATTCGGCAGCCTTTTTATTTTCTTCTATTCTAAAATATAAGTATACTTATCAGTCGTAAAACTTACAATATGAAAATCGGAATAAATATTTATTCTTGCAGTTACTGTTTTAAATAAATCCTCCTCGTTTCCAATTTTTTCAATTTTTCCTTTTCCTTTTCTTCTTGCTTCTCCCTCGCTTCATCAATTGCACCTTGTTTTACTTTTGCCGCATATTTGGCTTCTTCTTCAATCCTATGCTGTTCAAGAAAATCTTTCATTTCCTTTTGCTTTTCTCTTTCATAAATTACTTCAGAAAGAATTAAAGCACTGTTTAGTTCTTTTGGCGGACCGTGCATAACATACAACTCTTTTCTTTTGTCTTTTATATACTGCTGTCGTATTTCCTCTTGTTCTTTCCTCAGCATAAGAAATCTCTGCATCTTGTCTTCCTTAGATTGTTCTATTCTTTGTATACGTTCCTCTTCTTTACGTTTACGTATGTTCTGTGTATCATTATAGTAGATATAAATTACCATAGATTTAAATTATTTAGTTGTTTATAAATTTCCGTAAAACCGCTTCTTTAATAATTAGGTATTCTACTTGAATAAGTAGACACATATGTGATTGTAAAAAAGAGTAAATTTTGTAAATAAAGATGTATTTAGATTACTATCTGTGATCATTTCATTCTCTGTAAATTATCAGACGTAGATCGCGATTCCGACCTCATTGGACTTTGTCAACACGACAAAGGCATTTCCGACGCCATAGTAAATCGCACGAAGTGGTTTGTATTCTGTCGAAACCGTTTACGTCGTACTGACTAGATCCAATGAGATCTGAATGGCGATTCCGACTTAGACAGGATACTGTTCACCAAAAATTTTTATGTCTGTTTGGTTACATGTCTACCAAGTAGTAACATAGAACAATTACCATTTTAGGTACTGTATTTCTTTATAACTTTGTGTTTGTTACTTAGTAATCACGAAATACATACTATTACTAGTATTTTGTATGATGAATAAATATAAATATAAGTAAAACTGTATACATAGTTACCCAGTTGAACGGTTTAGTTAAATCTATACCTACTAATAACGTTTAAAAAGAGATATGTAACAACTTTCGATAATATCACAAGAAATTACCCTATTCTATTATTGAGCTAAATCATGTTTTTGATTTTAATGTTAACGCTGAAAGTCGTTTGCTGAAAGACACGATCGTTTCTGGAATTCTCGGCTTTTTAATTACGTTTTAGTAAACCTTTGACCCATTTACTAGTTCTCTGTTTACTATAGGGCAAATTCGTAGAAATTCGCAACAAAATAATACTAAATGCGGCCCTTGACCTCAAGCGGTCGAACACTTTTTTAGGTGGCTAATAAAACCGTAAAAATACCAATCGAGTCCGAGCGCGTCTATTTTATGGTATTAATAAAACAAAATTTAATATATTAGGAACTAGGCAAATGCAATTTACTTTAGATAATATAAAAATCAACTTGATCATGTATGTTGTACCGAACGGTACTATGTCGAGCCCTGCGGTTTTGGATAGGGATGCCTTTAAAAAATTCAAATTTATATTGCCAAGAAAAGATCAAACTGATAATTTAGAATTAAATATCAATCAGTCTATTCTAATCGAAATGCAAACTAAACTCAAATGTTTTATAGATGATTATGTAAATTCAGAACTACCGTCCAAACCAGATGTTAAAATAGAATTAAAATTTACATTACGTGATCAGAACCGCTTTATTGTACTTCACGTAGATTACCTATTATAGAAAAGAAAGGGTTACGGGAAATTTTGAATGGATTATTAGAAAAAGGAATTGTACATGTGCATCCGCATGAACGTCACCCATTGTTCTTGTTAAGAAAAACAATGGACAGTTGATAATGTGTGTAGATTATAGGAACCTTAATAAAGTTACTGTTCGCGACAACTACCTTCTACTATTGATCGATTGATCAATTAAATATTTTGAATAATAAAAAATTTTTTACGTTATTGGATTTGAGAGACGGCTTTCACCACATACGCATGGCCGAAGAGTCGATAAAATATACTTCATTTATAACACCTTCTGACCAATTCCAGTTTATTAAGATGCGTTCGCGCTTAAACAGCTCCGTTAAAATTTGAAAAATTTGTAAATGAAGTTTTAAAAGGATTAATTGCTTCAGGAGATATAGTTGCTTATTTAGATGATTTTTTGATCGCGACAAGAAGCCATTTGATGATTTTAAAAAGGGTATTTAAATTGCTGGTATGAAATAAAATGCAGTTAAAAATCCATAAAAGTAAATTCCTGTATGCTGAAGTAGAGTTTTTTGGGCTACATGCTATCTAAATATGGAGTAAAACCAACTCAACACAGGTCAGATGCTATAACCATTTCCCAGTCCCTCAAAATGTTCATATTGTTCAGATGTTTTTATGTTTATATTTGCGAAAATTTAAGGGTTTTCTATCCTTACGAAACCTTTATATGATTTGTTCCGAAAGAGTGCAACATTTAAACTTGAGGCGGATCAACTTCACGCTTTTGAGACTCTGAAATCAAAATCAATTGAATCACCGATTCTTTCGATATATGATCCTCACGATCAGACGTTGAGATGAAAAACACGAAAATGGAAGACAATATAAATATTAGACACAAAATGGAAAAGAAGATAGAAGAAAGGGAAATCATAATGAAAAAGAAGATTGATGAAATGAAAGAAGAAATTAAAAGGGTAAAACCACTCCCTAATGCAAGAGTCTAGTATCCCAGGGCATGATCATTAAAAATTACACCTCCAACTTTTCATGAAAGGATCTCGTGGTCTGTTTACCTAAAGCTGTTTACAGCAGCGGCAGAAGCAAATTCCTAGGCCGATTCAGAGAAAACAATAGCACTTTTCTTTACGAGGAGAGGCGTAGGATATACTCCAAAGAGTGTCCCAGTCACTACAATATGATATCCACCATCTTATCAGACGGAACTGAAAAGCCGTAACCAACGAAGCAATTTGACTCTGATGTGACGAGCCTCGTATGATTAGCCTACCCCCTGCTCCTCAAAAATTCATGGACCAACTGTCGGTACAAACACTTATCGATAGAGTCAGAAACGGAACATACGGGTCTCCGGGTTGCAACAACTACAGTGGTCGTCCGAAGTGCTGGAATTGCGAGAAAATGTGGCACATAAATCGAGTGCCCACTCAAACAAGACACGGCAGTCGGAAAACTATGATCAACCAAACCCTCACCAAGACCCTGAAGAAGTCATCATTTCAAGATTGGACGGCGCTATTATCATTTATAGAAGGCTCTATAAATCAGCACATTGTTCGAATGGTTATCGATAGAGGGGCATCCAACATCATCGTTCGCCTTGATATGATCACAGAATGGCGAATTCGATCTTTGGCCAGCAGACTGGTTTTAACTGCAGCTTCAACAACCCATTGATAATGCAACGTCGAAAATACAATTCGAAATGCGATTTTACATACTTGGATATTGGTGGCCGACATAGCGGATGATGTTATCATTGGATTGGACCCTCTTCAGGAACATGAAATTGACTGAGCTGTTCTACAATGCGCAAAGATGAATAGGAGATGGTAATGTCAAATGCTAAGAAGAAACCTGTTGCCTACAAGGTGGTAATAAAGGAAGATCGAGTACTACCGAGTCACTCCGAGAACATTGTAAAAATTAGAACTGGTGGGTGTAATCGAACCAAACAATCAAGAATTGACACAGAAAGAATTATTGGTAGGGTGTACGCTCGTAAGGTGTGGAACACTATCGGTACCATCGAATAGGCAATTTGAAAACTTCGAGCAAAAGATCTACATAGAACTGGGTATGTTTGAACTGGTAACTGAAATCCACCTCTACTACTGGGAAGAACAACCCGAGACGAAACCGACATCACTTCCTGTAACTTTATCAGAACTGGTGAAAGGGTCAATAAGCACGAAGTGAAACAATTAGGAGAACTTTTTGGTTGTCTTCAACACGTCTTCGCCCTGTCAGATCAAGACTTTGGTAGGACCAACCATATGACCACATCAACACTGGAACAGTAAGACCCATCAAACAACGATGACACACTAGATAGTCTAGCTGGAGCTAAATGGTTCTGAACTCTGGATTTGAAAAGTGGATACTGCAAAGTGGATATGCATCAGCAGGATAAGCAGAAGACTGCCTTTACAACTGGAACTGGTCAATGTGGTGCCTTTTGGAGTTTGTAATGCACTGGCTACATTCGAACGATTCATGGACACTGTATTACATGGATTAAACCAGAAAATCTGTTTGGTTTACCTAGACGATATCATTATAATAGAAAAAACCTATGATGCGTACCAATGATGCTTTGAGCTAACCTAGCTCCTTCACTTTATACCTTATTCGTATGCTTTTATATTTTTTAATTTTCCGAATTTGCATTTATTAATGTTTATATTAAAATTATTGTGTATACATGATGACAGAAAAAGCCATGCTTCTAGATAACTAATTAGTAACAGGAGTATTAATCAGACAGCAAATAATTACATAAAAGTAGTAACAGTGGGAAAAGGTGTTTAAATACGTGCCATTTGGTCGCAAGTGCAGGGTAGGAAATGTCTAAAGAGGGTTGTAGGATAATTTTCAAAATTTCATTGAATATACCAGAACGTTCATCGGTCATTTTCTGGAAGTTCCATTCTAGAAAACGACCAGTCTCTATAGATAGTTGCCACGGGATCGAGTGAGTTAGCACGAGTTCGAGTTACGTGGTATTCCAAAGCAAAAAGGAAAGAGCGAAAAAATGACAAAGTGATTATATAGTGGTGAATTTATAACTACTAATTATAAGAAGTGTTAATTAGACAAGAATATAGTTAAATAAAAGTACTGTTTAAATACGGGTTAATATGTTTTACATGGATTTGATAAAGTTTGTGTATTGCTGTTGAGTCGCCTGAAGTCGGTCGAATAATAAGACGGCCGAACTGTAAAGAAATTTAAGTTTTTGAATTCGCTACGAGTCGTCGCTGAAAATACGCTTTCCACGGCAACTGTGTTAAGGGTTGAAGTGGAACACGCTCGAAATGGTTTTTATTCAGTTGATTGGTGAATTACGAGTCGTGATGGTCACCTTGGCGAGTTCTCCTATTTAATATATTTTTTTATTTATTAAAAAACCATTTGTTTACTTAACATTATCTTATCATTTTTACATACCGTCTTACAACAAAAAATTACAACGTGTAATTATACAACACGCTGCTGAAGTGAAACTTCTTCAAACATACCGGGATAGGGATTAAGAAATTGGTTTAATGGCATTATTTGTACACTATGAATTGAAATTTTTTCAAATTTATTATCAATTTACATTATCGCTATCTTCAGACTCATTCTCCAGGTATGATACCCATGATAATTTTTAATATTCCAAATGAAATACCACACACAGTCTGTAAACTGTATTACAACACCTCTTATATTGTGTTTTTAGGTTATATTTTATATTATGTTGTATAACGTCCACTATGATGTCTATTATTCACCACTAAATGTTATAGTATAATATTATTCAAGTTATATTATTTTTTTATACAAAGTAATACTAGTGAAATTATATTTCACTAAATTTTACACACTAAGGTTAGTTATATTGATACTAGCGACCCGCCCCAGCTTCGCACGGGTGCAATGCTGATAGTAAATATACTATAGAATGTCTTTATACAGGGTGTACCATTTATAATAATTAAAAAAAAACATGGCTCCAAACACAAAATACAACAAAAAGTTGAGCTCACAATCGTCTTTGTAAATTTGTACGTACAATTTGTTTCATTGCGGGCCTGGATGTAGGCGGCTAAAGTCGCTCAGCTGATCTAGTGTGGATGTAACAAGTACCTACAGGGAAGAAGCCGAATGCACTTCTACCTTGTAAAAAAAAAGGCAAAAGTGAAAAAGAAAAGCATACCTTTTATAAAAAATGTTGAAATTGCCCGCCAAAATGCCTCGTCGTTGTATTCCCAGTTGCAATTCAAATTATAAATCATCATTAAAATGTAAGTACAAGTATGTCTATATTTTTATTCCCAAAAAACTGATGAAATGCGAAAATATTCTGCAGTTTACATACATCACTTTAACGAAAGTGACATTATAAAAACAGTAAAAAAAGTATCTACTGCCGGTAATGTTTTGGGTGTGCTTTTAACATACCCTAAATTACCAGAGAATGATGAAATAGAAATTTAAATTATTGAAAGATTAGATAACTCCTTAAAAATTTTCAGTTCATTCTGTTCGTAAAAAGATAACTTGCAACAATTGTGTTTCGCTCATAATAAACAATAAAGGCTCTTGTGTTGGAGATATTTATTTTGATTATTAACAAAGGGGAGGACTTTCCGTTCCTACTGATAATATTAGTATAGTTTTTTTTTCACATTTATGCCATTGTTGAAGAAAAAAGTAATAGCGAAAATCTACAGACACAATGTTTGCGGGCTGAACACCAAAAACCAATTTTAGGAAAATTAACTATTTTCAAAAATATGTAGTTGTGGAAAACATTATAAAGATATATTCTTCCAAATTTTATCTTCTTTTGCTGATGTTTTGCTTAATGATTACGTTAAATTATAAATTATAGAAAACAAGAGTCCCGCCCACTCCAATTCAAATTCAGCTAACTGTAAGACAGCAAAAATCCGTAAATTAAAAAAGTTCAAATTGAAATTATTTTTTTTTTTAATGGAATGGCAGGGTTATTGGCGAACCCCAAAAAAATGGTAACGCGCCTTGGCAATACTTCAATGGTGATGTGGAAATTTGCCTCAAAATTACAATTATTGAGATGAAATTCATATAGGTACCTATCAAAGTTTACCTAATCTATTGTCTTTTCTATTTTGTTCTTAATACCTACCTGCTCAAGTGTATTTTAAATAACGTCACATACTGTCAGTGATGAACAAATGTTAGTTATTTAATAATTTAATTCATTTTTATCGTAATGGGTGTCTAAAAATCATATGTAACTACGTGTAGTAATAACAAGTAAGACTCGCAGAATAGGACTCTCACATCGAAGCAATGCGCAGTTGCCAAATTTCTCAGCATGGCTTGTATTAGAGACGGCTGTGGTGTAATTAAACGAGGTTATATCAATATTTAGTTTTTTACATTTTATGAAAACAAAATAACCAACTTGGTCCTTCTGGACACATCCTTCTATTACTCCGCGTGGGGTTAAGGAGACGTGCCAGGCAAAACTAACATTTAACACATGTGAATGGTCAAAGTAGGTCTGCATCTTGTCTCAACTTTTACAACCATAACACACATATTTACCAAACGCTGGCTGGTGAGGGTTGTTTGTGCACTGCTTTTAACTATTCCGTAGTCGTTAAAATTTCTTTTCTATTTAAAATAACGTAATACTCGACGTTATGGGCTACATTAGATCCACTTCAGTTTACGATCATGGGATTTTCGATTGTGATAGGTATGTAGTTTTTCCAACATGTTGTCATCCAATGGACCTTAACGCGAGTGCATCTTCTTCGGCTGATCCGTAACTTAATACCAAACATAAACAATAACATTGCCCCAAAAAGCAGCTGATTCTGACCTACTGAAGGTGAATTTTTCTACGATCAGCTGGAATAGTAATTAATTTGCGATTGTGCAGGGCCGACATCAAAACTTTATAATTTTTTATTTTGTTTCAAAAGTCAAAAGTATTATAACATTTTATGTTCCAAATGTCCGTAGGAATCTGTGGTATAAGTATTAATTATTATAACTGGGACACCCTATATACAACAATCACAGTTTTTTTGTCATTAGACAATACAAACCGGCCAGTACCGCTGCAACCGCTATGTTCCTGCATTTTAAGTCTGTAATATCTTCGAAAATATTTATTTAAATTACATGTTTTAAGGGCCATATTGATCTATTTTAAATGCACAATGTATTTAAAAGTACTTAATTGTATAAGGATTAATGCTGTATTGCTTAAAATCGCTTCGTAAATAAGCCATTATTTCTCGTAAAAAGTAAAGGATAAAAAATGGTTATTGTGGGTTATCCCTAAGAGATAGACATATACCATCCCGGTCTTTTTTGTAGACCTTTTTTAAGGTGTACAATACTGCATTATTTTGATCTGTCTCGTAGGGTTCAGCCAGCGTTTGCAATGTAAACGCAAAAAATGTGTTTATTTACGACGTCACATTACAGGTCTCTAAAATTATCAGTGTTTCTCTAGTATATTACGCATGTATTATACATATAAATATTCCTCTTAAATTACTTTATCTACTAAAAAAAAACCGCATTAAAATCCGTTGCGTAGTTTTAAAGATCTAAGCATACATAGGGACAAACAGCGGGGGAATTGCCTTGTATGATTTCGTTACATAGCAACTCGCATGAAACGAACTTACCCTACCGTGCGTAAAGAAGTTTCACTTCAAAAATTAAATATGTACAATACACGTGTGGTGTTATACCGCACCACAATATAAATACATTTACAACCAGGTGTCCTACCGCAGAATCAACATTAATGACATCTATTCAAATGGTAGTATCCTGGGCTATAATAGGTGTATTAGCTGAAACCTTATTTCAATATTTATTTATCAAAGAACGCAAGTTAAATATAACCGAAATAAAGTTTAATATGGATGCTTTGAGTATAAGAATTTGTAATTTGGATTCCTTCTTATTCTCTTTAATTAGGGATATTATAGGTACCTTACCTCGACCGAGTTGTCCCAATTCTCAGTCATAGCATTGGACATTTCTTTAATATAATTTCTATGATCGATTTCTTTTTGTATCTCTAAAGCTTGCAACTTTTTTCTATCCAAATGTCCTGTTATCTTCTTCCATGCATCCGACGTTGTATGAAGTTCAAATTTTCGTTCGTCTATTTTTGTTTCATTTAGTGACTTTCCCGCCGGAACATACCAATGTGTTTCCATGCCCCTGAAACACAAATATTAGAAGAGGTACATATATAAAAGACAACATCATTCCCAATACAAAACGTTTGGATCCAAGCATATATAATAATATAATCCAAACGGATCCATGCAGATCCAATTAAATTTAAACACATTCCTATTGAATATTTCAATTTATCAGATTGTTTTATATGCAACATTAATTTACATTGTTATTTATTTATTTAATGGATCTACGAAAAAAAAACTAAGAAAGAAAGTTTCAGACAATTTTCCGAGTATATTATAAACGCTGTCACCCATCCAAGTACCAGTCAGCATTAGCTTCAGTTGACCAGGTGTTTCTTGAAGTCACTGACCGCTACAATGATATTATATTCGACGTCTGTATTACAACTACTTAAAGTGAAGTATTATAAAGTCGACTAATGTTTCTACCATCATTTCGCATTTTTGAAAAATTTGAAAAATTATTTTTCAGGATATGTTTTCAAACGTAATATATTCAAAATATTAAAAATTAGAATCAAATGCAGGAACCATAAGATATTTATATTGAAGCTAGCAGAAAACAATTTATTGGTCATCGACAAAGGTCATTTCTGAACCCCAACCGCTTAAAACTATGTCCTATTCAAATAGACTACAATTGCTATTGTTTAAATATCTTAATATCGTAGAAAAAACTACAAAACAATTTTTGCAGCTTGGGGTTTGTCACACCCCACATGTCGAACGCATGGTTAAGCAAGTACGTGGAAAATACCCCAATCTTGAATTGCAACTAAGTTTATTGCTTCTTTTGTACCCTTCAGGTAAATTGGTGCATTTCAAATTTCCAAAAGATACCTCATTTCAGGGTTATTATGTACATAGCACGTAGATATGTATTCGCAGACATAGACTATATATCCTATTTAGGTACGCATTGGAACGTCTTTTTCCTTACAGAAAATACTGTTCCCTGTATTAATTTATTTGTGACCCATTGATTGTTTTTCCCATGGCTAACGTAGTACGTGTTTCCTTATATTGTGCTCTGTGAATGTCCATATCTAGTCCGATATCATGCTTCTTGACCTCTGATTGGTTGCTTTCGAGTCAGTAACCTTACAGGAGGTATAGTCAAGCCACTCGAAGTGAAAGCATTTGCTGCTGCTTAGCTTTTATTGAGACAAGACGTTGTGATCTTCTCCTGTCTAGACGTCCTATCAAGTGTTGTATGTTTGTCTCCATTATTATTCTAATTAACTTTCTTGTTGGTCTATTGTTTAATATTTGAGAATTGTATTTTCATATAGTTAATTAATTTTGGAGATTTATTTTACGAGTTTAGTATACATTGGGTCCTTTTCTTTAGAGTTGTGTTATAAATTAAGATTTTAGTTTTTCATTTCTAAAACAATCTAGAGTATTATTAAGTTGCCTTTTTCCTTTTTTTATTACAGTCATTTTATCATTTAATTCTTGATGATTTTTAATTCTTGAACTTCAGTAAAATCAGTATATTCGGGACCATATGGTATCTGTTACATGTTGTCTGTTTGATTTTTGAGTGGTTTTCTGTTGATAAACTGAGTTCCAGACCATTCCCAATGTTTCCCCAATGAGCGCTTTTTGATTATTAAATTAATTTACTGTTTTAATGTCTATTTTCTAACCTTACTCATTACTTTTGTATTACTTTACAACCTATACCGTTCTATATTTTTAATAATTGGTTGATTTTATATTAATTACTTTTATTAAGCCCTTTAAGTTTTCTAATTTGGTGTGGTTTTCCAGATGAGAAGTTTTCAGCGGTTTTGAGAGTTGAAGAGTTCTTTGGAGCAATAAGCATCGTTTGTAGGCATCCTGGTTAATAAGTTGCGAAGGGCAAGTTAAACATTCCGTATAGTAATTTCTGTCTATATGAAGCTTTTGAAAATCACATTGAGAAGTTTGGCTGTTCGCCTTGGTTACTTTTATTGATTTTCTTGTACCCGCCCAGTTCCAATGTTACAGTACTTTACTTATTTGACTCCCTCTGTTTGGAAAACCTTTTTTTATAAAGTAAGAAAACTGGAATCCTTGTGTAATCCCAACTTTAGTTAGGTTTTGTAACATATACAGAGGCGTTTATAAATCTTTTGAAAGTAAGCAAATTGTTGTTGTAAGTTCAATTGTTGATTTTTTTTTATATGAGACTTGGAGCGTTATTTCCCAATCAGGTAAATCCAGTAACCTCTGACTGAGTTTTCCCGGAGCAATTGCTTTTGGTTCTGTGCGTTAGCAAAGTGGCGCCCGAGTTTTATTTAATTTTTTGAGCTTTTGAGTGGAATTCACTTTTTATGCTTAACAAATAAACGAAAAGTAATCAAAACTGTTATTTCGTTGAAGCGTCTAGTAGTACATAGTTATATCATGTATGTCTTTTTGTTCTCTTCCAATTAGAAAGAGATATCCAAATTAATATCAGAATGAAATCTAAAATATTTGACAGGTGCAAATGATAAATAGTAGCAATGAATTCGGTATTATGTCATCGACATAATCACAATCTATTTATTATAAACAAAATTACTTTCATTATTATCCTGGGGTCTTCTTAGGTTTCATTGGTTAGCATTGATCAAGTGAAGACAGGTTGATGCTATAGAACCTCATTCACATCTTTTGGGATATGTTATGGACAGTGCCGTAGCTAGATAATCAACGGCTCAGACGCAAAACAGTTTTTGGGTCCCAATTAAACAAAAAAATTACTACACAGCAACGGTTAAAATTAACCAATTTAGAAAGTAGTAACAAAAATAAGGAGACAAAGTATTTTGAGATAAAACTAACCCGGATCAAGTTTGTTTCTATTTTGTTATGATATGTTAATTTGTAAGAAATAGACAATTATTTAAAAGAAAGCCGCAACTAATTTTATTTTAAGCAAATTAATGATTTTAATAATTTTACTCCAAAATTCCGTGTTTAACCGTCACCCCAATATCTCTTTTAACCTCTTAGTTTTTCCCGTTTCCTCGACTTCGAGAAATTATTTTCTTTTTTTAAACGCACCCCGTATTTTCCTGAGACGACCAACACTCATCGGACGGATTATTATGAACGTTAATAAATAGAGGGCGCAAGCTGAACTAAAAGGATCAATAAAATAAATAATGTTAAGAATCTTAAAAATATTCGAGGGGAGGTATACCTACCTCTTCAATATAAAAAGAAGAAATCTGTTCAACCATTATTTTTTCCTGAACGGGGACCCTTTCAACACTTGGAGCCCCAGTGAACCGCACGCCTTAGCCTAATGATAGCTACGCTCTTAGTTATGGAAACCAATTTGCTTATTTTATTATTTCTACTATTATTATTTACTAGAATGGCCTCTCATTCATTTCTCTTATTAGATACATTTTAAATTTTCAAAGAATGGAAGTTTAAAGTAAGTGTAACTATTTGTACTCATATTTGCTCGAATATGAGTATACAGGGTTATTCACGTAACCTGTTCATTAAAAGTTTCTAAACTTAAGTATCACTAGAGATTTGAAAATACAGCAAATTACCTAAAAGCGGACGGTACTTCTAATTAAAATATTTATATAAACTAGGCTTATTGTAAACGGAATGCTATAATTTTTATTTTGGATTCAACGAACCTTTTTCGATCGACTTTGATAATATAACTCTATCTAAAAACGTGGTAGTTATCGAGATATTTCGATTTTTTTGAAAATTGCATTTCTATTGTAAATGGCATATTACACAGCTAGTTTTGAAACTGCCGTCGCCAGATTAGTTGATCGGCTAACTTGTACTTATCTTAATTTGAAATTGTAGCGTTAGTGACCTAAATATTTACAAGATGATGAAAATGTAGTGTCCAACGTATAAAACTTCAAACACGCAGAAGTTTCCTGTTACCAAATGGAAAATCCTGTATATTATTTCATTAGTGAACGTTTAATTGAATTCTGCGTCGATCGATATGAAAATTCTCTATATTTATCTGTAACGGTTTTTGACTTATAAGAAATGTTTTAAAAAAAGCTCCATTATTACGTTTTTAAATACATCATCATAATAAGAAAACATTGTTGTGCACTAAGCACTCCGTCAAATATTTTATATCAGTTCCGTCAGTGTTGAAGTTTCAAGGTGAAAAACGAACAGAACAATTACATCAATAACGATATTTTAAATTTATTTTACATTCATGGAGAATGTTAGAAAGTTGTAAACAGGGCAAGTCCCCTTTTCAACCAAAGGTATCTGAACAAAACAAAATTCAAGCGAATAGAAACACAGTTTCTACGTTTTGGATATTGGGTTACAGAAATTGTACTAAGAACCCGTAATTGAAGACGAAAATGACAAAATTAATGTATTAGCTTACTGCAACCCATTCCTGCAGCCTCAAATGACTTGGTCATATCTATCTCATCCACAAAATGTTGCACAATCATAAATTGCATTCCGTATTCCTATATTACTTTACAAGCATTTAAACAAGATGAATTGAATAAATTTCGTGAATTTATGTTAGTACGGTTGACTATAAATTAGAGAAATTTACACTTTTGGACTCACATGATCATCATATTGTTAGGGAATTAAAAATTCCTGTATATATTTTTGTGTTTGCTCTTGTGCTTCTTAATTGAATGATCATTGAAATTTATGACGGAACTTCAAATTCGGAGAGGTATGTGTAAATACTAAGACAAGTTGTGTCTTCGTTTTTAGACAATTTTGCCATTAGCATTGTTAAAAGATTGCTGGTATATAATGGACGGGACAGGTGTACACAATGCTAATGACTATGTCACCCGACTTCTATTTATGGGGTCATGTACAAATCTGTAGTGTATGATCGCCAAGTTGATATCCCTCTAGAACTAAAAGCAAAGGTATGAAGAATATTGAGAAACATTCAGACCCAATTCAAGTGAGGAAGGCTACAACCGACAAAGTGCATCGAAGGATAATCGAGTGCTTAAGCGGAGATGGAAGACACTTTATGGTTTATCGCTTTTA